GTCAACTATGTAAACTCCCTCCAAGTGGAATCAAGGTGCTCAGCCGTTTTCATGACGCTGTCAGAAATCTTCTTTATAAATCTTCTTTATACGCCGCATGTTAGCCTCATAATGTACCATCTAATTTATCACCCCATTTACAATTGCTATAATCCATTTCCCTCTCAAGGGCCTCTTTTTCTTTGTCTTTTTAAGCCAAGCATATCTCTTATAAAGATCTTTACAGGTCTTTGAAGATCAATGAGACTGTTCCAAAACCTGGAGTTGCTTTGTCAACTTTGTCACCCGAGGGCAAAGTTAGCTGAGGCCAGGTAAATGTCATTCACCCAGTTTCGTCTGACTCTGTCCTCAAGTGCTATACTTCTTCAAAGTCAGTCTCCCATGAGTAGCTAACCTCCATTGCTTCCTCCAGGAAACCTACAGGAAACCCTATTGTGTGGCTGACCCGATGCCAAACACTAAATCAGGTGACGAGGCAGACATCAAAGGACACAACAGACTCCACCTGCGTCAGGAACTTCCATCACACGAGAAAGGAGAAGACAGCCTTTTTCTGTCCAGGATTGTTGCCGAGTCACACTTCCTAGGTCCTTTCAAAAGATACTGATATGGCTCACCATTTCTGGGGAGGTGTTCTGTTCCCTGAATATATATTCCAACTTTTGATCATCTCTTTACGCTGGTATGTTCAGTGTTCAAAAAAAATGAACAATCTCTTTATATATCCAATATCCGTTAGCTTTTCTTGCACAGTCATTATCATTGACTTGGGTCATTTGGAAAAATGCATAAATGCATTTGGAAAACTACAGATCTTTATCCTACCACATCACTACTGCCACCGATGGTTGCAGTCTCTCAGTCACATCTGCAGGATGAGTTCCCTCTTTCACTGACACAGAATGTTCCACAGGCAAAAATCATTGTTTACAGTGTTATCCCTTTGACAGCACTTAGCATCAATTTGTAGCAGTTCTAGTTCATTCCCTGCCAGCTGGGCTCACAAGTTAGTATCATTTTTTTTTTTGGATGGGGGATTGAACTCAGGGGCACTTGACCACGAAGCCACATCCCCAGGCCTATTTTGTACTTTACTTAGAGACAGGTCTCACGGAGCTCCTTAGCACCTCGCTTTTTGCTGAGGCTGGCTTTGAACTCGCGATCCTCCTGCCCCAGCCTTCTGAGCTGCTGGGATGACACGCATGAGCTACACACTGCACCTGGCCACT